TCACTTGCGCTTTTTGGTACCGTCTGGTGGTACTATCCCCTCTCTTTTTGAGCACGTAGATAAATTACCTCAGAGATAAAATTTGCACAGGAGAAGGAAATATAGTGCAGTAACTTTAGATAAAGGTGAATTTATTATATATATAAATGAATGCTCACCTTGTTTTGAGCCCAATATTTGGCTCTAAATTATCAGCATAAGTGTCAAAATAAGGGAGACACCAACCCTTCTTAGAGCAGCTTCAATGAAGGTCAAAAGGAACTTAAATAAAAAATGATGATTTATTTTGCCCACTGGCAAGGAAATAAAAAGCATAAAAAATATGTATAAAATCAAAGAAAGAGTAAAAATGGCCCATAAATGTCCTTTTCCGAGACGCGTTTCGCCCTACTTGAGGGCTTTTTCAATCGGGTATTTGCTGCTCTTGTTTAGGTCCCGGTTTAACTATCCCGGTCTGTCTCCTCATTGGTGCGTGCTTTCAGTAATTATCCAATCTTCTTGTCCAGGGGGAGTGTACTGTGGCTTCCCTTTCGTCACTCGCGTCCGTAACCGGAAGTGACATCAGGCACATCGCTGCGTCATTTCCGGTATTTGCGGTCGCCATTTTACTTATGGGCAATAGAGTGGGAAAAGAGACAGAACACTATTATATCGTGTTCGTCACTTCCCCTGCGCCCTTTATTCAATACGAACCAGTTAAATAACTTAAGACATTCTTCTAAATACATAAAAATCTGTGTGGAGCATGTAATTCCTAATTGTTACAAAATATATGGTTAGAGGTTTATATTATGAAACCTTTTAAGTACCTATTAATCCCATCTTTGTAATCAAAGAAAGGATTAATAAATTAAAAAATTAGAAAGTATATATTTTAATTGTATATACAAAATGCATATATCATTTAAAGTGGCATCACAAAAAATGACACATTTCGAAATCACTATTAAGGCCGGTGGGAATCATAGTATTGAGATCAAAAATCCATCTCATTTCTTGTTGCCCCATCTTCCTTATTGGATCCTCACCTCTCCAATTAACATTGACAATTTGTATGCCCATAAATGTTAGTTGGGTTGGATCACAGTTATGTTTGTGTTTAAAATGTGCAGAAAGGCTATGCTTGTCAAAACCCTTCCTAATATTACGAATATGTTCTTGTATTCTTATGTGGAGGGATCTGGTAGTTCTACCTACATAACTTAAGCCGCATTTGCATGTGATAAGGTAAATAACTCGTTTAGAATAGCAGGTTATAAATTGGTTTATTTTATGTTTTTTAGGCTGTTTGCCTTGAGATTGTGATTCACAAGTGGAGAATGTAATAATGTGTCTCTTTTTTTGGCCACTATTCCTACATGCACCACACGTGCCGCAACCATAAAATCCATTTTTTTGGTTAAAAGCATTTCTAGTGTTGTTTTGTTCTTTTATATGGTTTCGTACTAAATTCGTTTTTAAACTAGGGACTCCTCTATAGGTAAAAACAGGTTTGTTTGGTAACACTCCATTTAAAAATGTATCTGTTTTTAAAATGGGCCAATATTTTTGGAATATCCTTTTCAATTTATAATTCTGGCAGCTGAAGTCGCAAATATATGTCAGATTACGTTCATCTTTCCCATTTTGCAGTAGTTTGTATTGTAAAAGTGACTCCCTATCTTTTGAAGCAACTTCCTGCTGGGCCTTATCCAATAGTTGGGCTCCATACCCTTTCTGCTTTGGGTGCATTAGTGAGCCAAGGGGAGAAGTGGCAGCTCGTCTCTTCAATATAGCTGTTCACATCTACTTTTTTAAAATGTGTTTTAGTTTTAATTTCTCCTTTATCTATATAAATTTGGAGATCCAGAAATTCCACAGATATACGGCTATGACTGCTTTCCAATTTGATGCCCCAAGTGTTGTCATTAAGGGCTGCTAGAAAGGATATTAGAGATTCCTCATCTCCCTTCCAGATTAGAAATATGTCATCGATATACCGGCGGTAGAGCACCAGATTCTCCTCCCAGTCCTGCCTTGCATATACATGTTGATGTTCCCAAAATGACATGAACAGATTGGCATAACTGGGGGCGAATCTGGTGGCCATCGCTGTACCGCATATCTGGAGGTAAAAGTCACCCCCAAACCAAAAGTAGTTGTTGGTAAGAATCCATCTAATTCCTTCAACAATGAAGTTAATCTGTTCTTCCGGGAATTCCCCAAACTCCTCTAGAAAGAACCTAGTGGCTTGTTCTTGTATTCTTATGTGGAGGGACCTGGTAGTTCTACCTACATAACTCAGACCGCATTTGCATGTGATAAGGTAAATAACTCGTTTAGAATAGCAGGTTATAAGTTGGTTTATTTTATGTTTTTTGGGCTGTTTGCCTTGAGATTGTGATTCACAAGTGGAGAATGTAATAATGTGTCTCTTTTTTTGGCCACTATTCCTACATGCACCACACGTGCCGCAACCATAAAATCCATTTTTTTGGTTAAAAGCATTTCTAGTGTTGTTTTGTTCTTTTATATGGTTTCGTACTAAATTCGTTTTTAAACTAGGGACTCCTCTATAGGTAAAAACAGGTTTGTTTGGTAACACTCCATTTAAAAATGTATCTGTTTTTAAAATGGGCCAATATTTTTGGAATATCCTTTTCAATTTATAATTCTGGCAGCTGAAGTCGCAAATATATGTCAGATTATGTTCATCTTTCCCATTTTGCAGTAGTTTGTATTGTAAAAGTGACTCCCTATCTTTTGAAGCAACTTCCTGTTGGGCCTTATCCAATAGTTGGGCTCCATACCCTTTCTGCTTTGGGTGCATTAGTGAACCAAGGGGAGAAGTGGCAGCTCGTCCCTTCAATATAGCTGTTCACATCTACTTTTTTAAAATGTGTTTTAGTTTTAATTTCTCCTTTATCTATATAAATTTGGAGATCCAGAAATTCCACAGATATACGGCTATGACTGCTTTCCAATTTGATGCCCCAAGTGTTGTCATTAAGGGCTGCTAGAAAGGATAATAGAGATTCCTCATCTCCCTTCCAGATTAGAAATATGTCATCGATATACCGGCGGTAGAGCACCAGATTCTCCTCCCAGTCCTGCCTTGCATATACATGTTGATGTTCCCAAAATGACATGAACAGATTGGCATAACTGGGGGCGAATCTGGTGGCCATCGCCGTACCGCATATCTGGAGGTAAAAGTCACCCCCAAACCAAAAGTAGTTGTTGGTAAGAATCCATCTAATTCCTTCAACAATGAAGTTAATCTGTTCTTCCGGGAATTCCCCAAACTCCTCTAGAAAGAACCTAGTGGCTTGGCATCCCTGCTCATGTGAGATGATGGTATACAGCGAACTTACGTCCGCTGTTACCAAGATATAGTCCTCTTCCCATACCTGATTCTTCAAAAGATTCAGTATACTCATTGTATCCTTTAGATGGCTGGGACATCGAGGAACTGCAGACTGTAAGCATCTATCTATATAAGGAGATAGGCGACTGGATATAGACCCTGTACCGGACACTATAGGTCTTCCTGGTGGATGATCCTTATTTTTATGTATTTTTGGGAGCTGGTAAAATACTGGGGTTCTGGGGTATTGGATATCAAGGTACTTCTGTTCCTTGTTATTTAGAATACCTAACATTTTTCCATGATCTAAAAGTTGGTGATAAGTTATTTTGATATCATTGATAGGGTCCTTGGTCAATTTTTTATATGTATTAGCATCCATCAGTAGTCTTTGCCACTCTTGAACATAACTTTCCTTATTCATTAGGACCATCCCCCCTCCCTTATCGGCTGGTTTAATTACCAATGTATCGTCTTTCTTAAAATCTTTAAGAGTATCTCTTTCTTTATTATTCAGATTATATTCCCAATTCTTAGGTGCTTTCAGGTTTTTGACTTCATTCATTACCATTTTTTCAAATGTAATAATCTCCTCTGAAATTAACGAGTGGGGATAGAAAGTAGATGTTTCTCTAAGATTCGAATGAATGAAATCATCTTGAGGGCAATCGAAGGTACTGATAGAATTTTTTAGAAATTTTTTTTTGAGGCATAGCTTCCTCTTAAATTTTTGGAGATCCACATAAACATTGAATTTGTCTATAGGTTTAGACGGTGCATATTTTAGACCCTTAGACAAAAGTGCAATTTGTGTATTGGTTAATGTGCGTGTGGTAAGATTGAAAATGCCATTAGATTCTATGGATCCCATCTGCCTTGCCTTCCATTTCTGTATTGTCGTTCCTCCTCTACTTCCCCTTCTTCTAAACTCCTGGTTCTTTTCCCCCAAAATTTCATTGGTGTGTTCTTGTGTTTGTCCCTGGTGTAGGTCCCTTGAAAATCCTCCCTCCTAGGTGACCTCTCCAAGTTAATAAATCTATTTTGAAGAGGAATGGACAATATTGGGTGATGATTGATTAACTGTTGGGGATTGGTAGTGGAGTGATGGTGTAAAGGTCTACTTCATTCCTTTCTCCTTACCACTCTTTCTGGAGTATGAATGTTGGAATGTGCATAGGGATACTTTCCCTTAGAGTGATCTCTAACCTTAGTATTATATCTAGGTCTCAAATCTCTATTTGCATTAGCGTGTCTTGCATACGGTTGTTGTAATGAGTTGGAACTATGGGATTGGTATCCCCTATCTATCTGTCTATATCTACCTTCTTGCTCATTACGATCCTCATTCCTATATCTGGATTGTATTTTGAACTTGTGAGCTCCGTCTCAAGCAGCCATCACTAGCACGCTCAGACACCAGCGAGGGCGAAATATGGGCCGCACAATACGCCCAGAGGGCACCCAGACACCCAGGAGCGTCCCCACCAATTCCCAGGCGGGCCCCATGGACGGCTACCTGCAAACCCCAGCAGCCGCGCCGCACTAGCAAGTAGGCCCAGAACGGTCCGGCTCCCCGCCCTGCGCACGGCCCCTTGAGCCCTAAACTCCCACGCTCGCGTATATCAGCGCGGACATCAGGGCGCTGGCGTCCCAGATGGTCACTAAAAGTGACCTCCAGGTCCTATCAGACGACCTCCATGCCGCAATCCGTTTTGAGGTGGTGGCCCTGCGGTCAGAGATCACAGCACAGGACGGCAGACTCCAAAACCTGGAGGAAACAGTGAGAGAGGCGACGGAGAGAGCGGGGACCAACACCACTGCGACCACAAGACAGGGGCACATGCTACTGGCCCTCCGACGCCAGACAGAGGACCTAGATAATAGGAGCCGCCGCTCCAACATCCATGTGCACGGACTACCCGAGCCATCCACTGAGGAAGATGTGGAAGCCACGTTGAAAGCCCTCTTTCGGGAGATCCTGGGAGCTGACATGACAGATAGCATAACATTTGACTGCGCACACAGAGCTAACGGACCCAGGCCGGCAGACAACACCCCACGAGACGTCATATGCTGCCTGCACAACTACAAGCACAAGGAAAAAATAATGCTCAAAGCACGCTCCAGACCGCTATGGAGGTTCCGCGGTGCAGACGTGGCCTTATTCCAAGACCTATCACCGCTCACACTCGATGCCCGCAGGGCCCTATGCCCCATCATATCACTACTCAGAGAGAGGAACATCCCCTACAAATGGGGGTTCCCCTTTGCCCTGCTTGCAAGACACCAAAATGAGTGGGTGCCCTTGCGCTGGCCGGAAGAGGGCTCAGGTTTTTTACGCCACATGGGCCTACCACCCACTGAAATAGCGGATTGGATTCTTGGACCTTTGGAGCAGAGACCTGGACCCCACACGCCACGACAACAGCGCCGCCGCATGGAGGAGCCGGCAAGACGTCCCAATGCCCGCAGACGCCTGGACCCAGCAGAACCCGAGGAGTAGAGTCAGATGTGAGTCCCCCCCCGATACAACCACCCCCCCTTGAGAGACTGCAGACAACCCTACATTCCCGGGAAACAACTGGATACCAGACGGCTGCAACTACCGCCAAGATCCCAGATAAGTGATAACCTATACACTAACTACACCGCATGCACTGATCAAAGGGCGTAAAGATAGGGGTTAAAGACGGTGATATAAGCCTCCTGAACTTAAAAGGTCTAGGCTGCATTTGGGGTGGGGGGACTATCGGTAGGAGGGGAAGGCGCAAGACATGGACCCTGCTCACACCGGAGGAAACTGGGTCAAGGACTAAAGTAGCTAATGCTCTGATGTTTTAATGGTTTTAATGGTTTAAAGTTCTAAGGTTTGAATTTTACATGATTTGCTCAGACACACATTAGGAGAATACGCAAAGATCCCATGCACCCCCGCTGATGAACCCCAGGACACTAGGATGGCGACAACACACCGCTAATAGGCCAGCCAAAACCCCTAGTCTGTCGATGTATGGGTACTGATGACTCGACAAGTAACTAAAATTTATCTCGCAACTCCATAATCCAGTTGACATGATACCACGTTGCCCACGATAACATGTACGGCGCGCTGTGGTGACTGAAACCGGTTCCACAGGCAGCAATGAAGGGTGCCCCTCGCCCCCACCTGGCGCCTGGGGGGGGGTGGGCCTAGCGGCGGTGGTGCCTACGTGCATGACGCTATAATGTGATGTGCGGGGGGCGTGCCGCCGGTGGGCCCACTGGGCCTCCCCGGTATGCCGACATAGGTGTACTGATAACTTAATTTGTAACCGAAGTGTTTTGTGCAGGGCAATAGGCCAGCTGTCATGGCATCACGCTGCCTGGAATAAAGTGAGCGGCGGGGTACGGTGACCGAAAATAGCTCCACGGGCAGCAGGGGGCTGTGCCCTTCCTCCACCCCACCCCCCCGCCTAGGGTGGGGGAGGTGGGAACCCGTTGGCGACAGTCCCTTCAAGCATGTAACAATATCTGACCCCCATGTCAACCTTTCTAATAATATCCAGTGAAGACACCCCACGCCCCCCACATGAGCACACCCCAGTAGGACGAAGCAAACTCCCAGACCCCACCCTAGAGTCCCCTATGAGAGCAAAAGTAATGACAAAACATAGGGGGGAAGCTCAGGGGACCGACCACTGCTGAAGCACCTAAGGACGGAATGGACTAGGGTGGTGAGGGGAAGACGGAGGGAGCAGGGGACTGGCAAGGATGGGAACCACAAAATAAATCTTACGAGAGGGGACATCGCGGTTACGAGACCCAATGCAACATAAGGAAGGGGAGTGACTTAGGAGACGGGACACTATAACCGCAGAAACACCAAACCTACACAGCCAGGCACAACCAGCAAAAAGACCACACACGCAGGGGGACCCACGCAACATCCCGAGACTGGACCACCCCCAAACAATTACTAAGGCCAGGCGACCCCACCCAAAAGCTGCACTCCAAATCACTATTACCATTACAGTGGGGCACCGCCATACGGACTGCTCACATGCGCCCATACTAAACCCTTAAGACCGCCACACTGAGCCTTAGCATTCAACATGCAACCAATCACCAATGAGACGGATAGCCCACGAGACGGGTACACTTGGACCAACCCCTCCACTCAAACACGCCACCACAACTCCGGTGGTATATGATATAAACGGGAGACCACGACCCTGACCTACACCTGTGTAGACACAGACCACCAAGGGGAACACTGCCTTGCTGCCCTAGTTAACACTAAGTGGCGGTTCGGCATTGCCATCCAACTCGGTTACACAGGTACCTTGTCCCTACAGGCACTAATACCCCAGACATCCACGAAACTAAACAGACAACAGCACACAAGCCCATAACAAGCACTATCTCACTGCACAACCCACAAGAGACCCCCAGGGAACAGGAGACGGGGGGGAGGCGGGCGCGGGATGCGGCCACGGGAGCTCCGAGGTAACCTTCTCTACATTCCTACCAAACCCTAAACCACCCTCTACTACCCGCCCCCGCCCTTAACCCATACCTGGGCCCCCATCCCCGCCCATACAGAATAACACAACCCACCCACACCAAATGGCATACACACCCGCACCATTCCACATAATCACACAAAACTGCAGAGGTCTGAACGCACCCGAAAAAAGGTCTCACCTCCTACAAGACTTAAAACGCCGCCGAGTATCGATTGCCCTTCTACAGGAAACGCACCTCAGGGACACCGACACCCATAGAATACAAAACAAACACTACAATACCACCTACCATAGTAGCCACCAAACCACACGAAAAGCTGGAGTCTCGATTCTCCTCAGCACCAATCTACAATTCTCCCACTCTGAAATGCTCAAAGACACAGACGGAAGATACATATTCGTGAAGGGAACAATCTCCCGGAAAACCTATACGTTCGCCTCGGTTTACGCCATAAATAAAAACCAGGTTAAGTTCCTGCGCAGAACGCTCCTGAAACTAGCAACTTTCACAGAAGGCATCCTTATCCTTGGTGGAGACCTTAACCTACCTTTGGACCCAATAGCAGACACCTCCACTGGACATAGCACAGTGGCACAAACAGCAATCAGAGCACTCCACAGAACGCTGCTCGATCTGAGACTGGTGGATGCTTGGCGAGCACTCCACCCAGACGGCCGAGACTACACGCACTACTCGACCCTCCACAGGTGTTACTCGCGCATTGACTACATTTTCATCCAACAAGAGGGACTCACACATCTACAAAAAGCCGACATTAGACCAACACCGTGGGCGGACCACAGCGAAACCTCCATACACCTAGACTCCCCCATTTTCAAGCCAACCAGAACGTCATTGAGAATGAATGAATCGCTTCTCCTGGACGTGGCAATCCAATCACAACTGACCGAACATCTGAACCAATACTTCGAAGAGAACGCAACTGCTGACATGTCACAGATAACACTCTGGGAGGCCCATAAGAGCGTCCTCAGAGGTCACTTTATCTGATTAGCGTCGCGTAAAAAACGGGACAACCTGAAAGCAATCGAAGACCTAACAACCCAAATAGCAAAACTGGAGACCCTTCATAAACGAATCAACTAGAAGCCCAATATCGAGAACTCCTGTCAGCGCGCAGACAACTCACAGAACTCATAGACCGCAAATACCATAGAGCACTACAGCGCTCGAAGGCCTTCTATTACATACACGCAAATAAAAGCGGCAGACTACTAGCGCTGATGATAAGAGGGCAGCAAACGAGAGCCCAGGTACCAACACTGCGAACCTCAAGAGGACGCCTCACACAATTCCCAGAAGAAATAGCGGAGGAGTTCCGCACATATTACACAACACTATATAATATCCACGCGGACCGATCTACCAGGATACAGGAGGCTACCACCAGAGAAGTGGAGCAATATCTACAAGGATTCCAACCAGAGGCGCTAACAGGTGAGGAAGCGGAAGCACTGGAAGTGCTGATATCCGAAGAGGAAGTCAGACTGGCAATTAAAGGGACAAAGAATGGCAAAGCACCCGGCCCAGACGGATTCCCGGCTGGGTACTATAAGAAATTCGGGGACATCCTGATCCCTCGACTCACCGCTGCACTAAACCAACTGCAGAAAGGAGACGGGTTCCACGCGGAGACAATGGCCGCCACCATTACCGTCATACCTAAACCAGGCAAAAACCCAGAATGCTGCAGCAACTACCGCCCCATCTCACTCCTCGTTTACTATTCAGCACCTAGCACTAAAGGAAAACAAGAACATGCTACTGCTCTCCACATATGCAGAAAAGGCGTTTGATCGGGTAAAGTAGCACTTCATGATGGCAACGCTCGCCAAGATAGGGATAGGGAAGGGGATGCTCACGTGGATTGAAACATTGTACCGCAATCCAAACGCGAGGATACGGGTCAACGGAGCACTCACAACTAGCTTCGCCATCCACAACGGCACCAGACAGGGATGCCCCTTATCCCCCCTCTTATTCGCTCTCACACTGGAGCCTTTCCTAGATAAGATCCGACGAACGCCCAACATCCAAGGACTCCGATACAAAGAACAAGAACACAAGGTGGCAGCTTACGCTGACGATATGCTCTTTTACATTAACAACCCAACACACACGCTTCCCGTATTAATGGAGGAGTTTAAAAAAATATGGCCGAGCATCAGGGCTCAAATTGAACCTTACAAAATGCGAAATTCTACAAGTCTCGACCCCGTCACCGGATTGGGACCAGATCAAACGGACCTACCCCTTCACATGCTGTGAAGATCAGATGAAATACCTTGGCATATGGATCCCACGCAGACCGACAGAAATATACACAAGGAACTACACCCCACTTCTTCAACAAATTCAAAGAGATCTGAAGACATGGAACCATGAGTACATCTCCTGGCAGGGACGAATAGCGGTGGTGAAGATGCATATTCTGCCAAGACTCCTGTACTATTTCAACACCATACCATGGCATATACCACCAGACTTCTTTGCGACAATAAAATCAGCGATAGGCAGTTATGTCTGGAAAGGGTGCAAGGCGAGACTCAGCCACGATAAACTATGCCTACCCAAATCATGGGGCGGACTAGCACTGCCCGACATACGAAAATACTACCATGCAACTGTTCTACAGAGGATCAGGGACTGGCACACAGCCCCGAACCACAAAAGATGGGCAGACCTAGATAGGGAAAGTATGTACGGTACCCTCCACTCACTAGTGTGGCACCAAGCTCGGGGAGAATCACCGCAGACGAGCAAGACCTCACCCATCACACAAACACTAAAAACATGGGCTATAGTGAGAAAAGAATCCTATATCTCCCCACAACCGAGCCCATTGATCCCACTGACACATAACACAGACCTGGGAGGCGGCCTACCGAGAGGTGCATGGCCAGAAACTAATTGAGAAGCATATCTCCCTTTGAAGGAGGCGTTACACAATGCAGGTTTAAAGAACCTACAGGAATGGACCGGAACCGAAACCCCCTCTCTCATGCACAGATTCCGCTATGCGCAACTCAGACATTTCTACTCTAATATCCCGAACAGACAGGCAGTACATAGAGATACAACATGGTTCGAAAGCCTGTGCGTCGTCACACCTGAAGCGGATGGGAGAGTCTCCATAATATACCAGAGAATACTGTTGGGTGACTGAGTCAGAAATATAGTGTTTAAGGGTCAATGGGAAGACCTCACGGGCAGGACATACAGTGACGCACAATGGGAACAGATCCTCATACTGGAACATAAGAGTTCGATCAGCTCAAAATACCAGGAGGCCAATTTTAAACTGCTATCCCACTGGTACCGAACACCTGCGTTGCTACACAGGATATTCCCAGGGACCCCTGACACATGCTGGAGATGTGAGATCCACACGGGAACAGTACGACACATATGGTGGGACTGCCCTAAAATACGACCATACTGGGACCGACAAGAACTGAACATGATCCTGGGAGACATACCAGACCTCAGCATAGAAGCTGCCCTACTCCACTTCACGGACCAATCCGTAGCACAATATAAGAGATCAATTCTGAGACATCTACTCAATGCGGCTAAAGCCCTAATCCCAACGCTATGGAAAAGCACACAACCACCCACGATTGTGCAATGGCAACAGAAAGTTGAGGAAATTCACACAGCGGAGACATACGAATGCGTCGTCGTCTTGTCATGCTCTAGGTGATCTCCTCCATGAACTTGGCTTGATGGGAGTTGAGCCAGTTCTGGGTGGCCCTTGTGATGCGGCATGCCCATTCCGCATGGGAATCCTTCTCCCCTTTCCAGGTCTCCCTAAACCTTCGGCGGTATTGCTCGGTGGTGACCGCAAACCGGGCAAGGAGGATTTGGGTAATAAAGGGATAGTCTCTGATCTGCTCTTCTGGTACAGCCTGGTAAATATCCGCTACCTTCCCCACTAGTTTGCAGGCCAGGATGGTGACCCAGCCACTGGGGTCCACGTCTTGGAGTAGGCACTGGCGCTCAAAGTCTTGTAAAAAGTCATCAATGCCTTCTTCTGCTTCCTTGAAGTCTTTGTATGGTAGCTTGTGGGCCAGGGTGGATGTGCTTCCCGGCGCCCTCTGCTTCCTTCATCTGGGTTCATGGAGGTCGCCCCCTGTCTATTGGCAAGGACATAGGCTTGCACCTCCAAAAAGGTCCTCCTGACAATCTCCTCTGAGGGTGGCTCTCGGTAATATGCCAGGCGCCGTTACACCTCCTTGCGCACTTCCTCCTCATCTCCGGCCACTGGCTGAGGTTCATTGCCTCACTGCGTGCCTGGTCGTCCTCCATGAGCGCAGCAGTCAATTCGGCCTTGTTACGCCCACCAGGTGTTATTCCTCTGGCTACACACAAGTCCTGCCGTGTAGGTCGCTTTAGAGCACTGTAGTCCATGGGTCCACCGCCTCCTCAACTTATGGGTCACTTAGTATAAACTATGTACAAAATAGCAGAGGCTTGTGAAGGCCTTTTCTCCATGCATCAGGAGTTGAGCATTTCTCTATGCATCAGGACTGCAAGAAATGCACCGCAGGCCGCAAATTTTTCTTTTTTTTATATGTCCCAATATTTTGGGGGCTACCCCAATAAAAAAAAAATAAAAAAAAAAAATATATATATATATATATATATATATATATATATAATACCATGTTGGCTACCTCCTCCTCCTCCACCGCTGCTTCCATCTACACCGCCACAGTCACCGCCTCCTCAACCTATGGGTCACTTAGTATAAACTAAACTTGTGAAGGCCTTTTCTGCATGCATCAGGAGTTGAGCTCAGTTTTCACAATGAAAGAGAATACCCTGCACTCCAACCCTCTCTCAAATGGATAATTCTGTTGATCCTCCTGACAGCCATGCTTTAGATTTTTATTTATGTTCTTCCAAAGCTAAAATCAAAGATTCCTAGTGCTATTTTATGGCTTAGCTGTATTTTTATTTTTTATGTTATTTTAAGTGATTTCCCTATCCACATTTGTTTGCAGGGCACTTGTCCTACTCTTACTCCCATTTTACTTCCTTTTGCAGCCCTCTAGCCCTTTCCAGGACTTTTTAGAGGCATTTTTGTTCGGGTCCCCATTGACTTCAATGTGGTTCGTGGTCAAGTTCGATTCCGAACCCGGACTTTTTTTCAAAGTTCGGCCGAACCCAAACATCCAGGTGTCCGCTCAACTCTATTCATGAGTAGTATTGTGTATGATACCTATCAATGTGGGCTGTGCAAGGGGGTTGCTTGTTGAGTTGTGTGTGTGGATGATATGTCACAGTGTGTATTTGATGGTATTGCATGTGAAAGTCTGCAATATGGGGTTGAGTGTATTGTCAACAGTGCTGTGTTTGTGGGGACTGTGTGTGGGCTTTTTAAATTATTTGTGTGAGCAGGAGGCTTCTTCTGCAGCTCTGTGTATATCTAGCAGTGTGGTACAGGTCAGGAGCTGCTCTACTCGAGTGCAGATTTCCATTCACAAGTGCTGGCAGGAAAATTTCTGAGATCACTTCCTTTAAGAGCTGCAATGTGTAAATAGAGGATTGTCCCTCACCAGCTGCAATCGCAGCCCGGTTTGCTGTAGCAGATATCTGAAGTCTCATTGGGACCCCAAACAGGCTCCAAGACTAGAGCCTGTTTGGCTATGGCAGCATTGAGTGCTGTGCAAAGGCACCTCAAGTGCCATGCAAGGCACATGTACCATAGATTGCTGACCCCTGCTCTATACTCAATATACTCCTCCATTGTCACTTCCTCTCATTGCATATTGTCTACATTTCAAGGCGCTACTCCCACCTTTAAGTGTATACATCCTGTGACTGGAAAAGAGAAACTCCAGATTGGGTGTTTAAGCTGCCTTCTCTGCTCCATTAGTAAACCTCAAGCACTAGAAACCTACTCTTTTTTTTTTTTTCATACAGACTACATCTGAGAAAGGCCACTAAGAAATACCATTCTTTGCAGGGACATTTAATAGCATGTCTCCATGTGCTGGACTTTTTTTTCTCAGAGTCTTTTCAATGTAAGGGTTAAAACTTTAGGCAGAGTGAACTGTATTAGGTTTCCTGAAAGAGACACTATAGGCACCCAAACCACTTCAACTCATTGAAGTGGTCTGGGTGCACTTTCCCTTTTGCACATAGTGCTGCAATGTAAAATATTGCACAGTTCTATAGAAGCAGCAATGTTTACATTGCAGCTCTAAGACTGACTGCAGTAGAAACAGCCACTAGAATGCTTCCTGGATTGAAATGGACCATTTTTTCCCATAGGAAAGCACTGATTCATTGCATTCGCTTTAGAGCCCACTCGTCACGGGACATTGGAGGGGGAGGAGCTTCGACCCAGCACCGCAGGACATCGGCGCAGGGTTAAGGTAAGTAAATAAAGTGTTTTTAACCCTTTATTTACCAAGGAAGGGGCGGCACAAGGGAGCGATAGTGCCACGAATACAGCTTTGTATTCCTGGCACTATAGTATCCCTTTAAGTCTAAAAAAGGAAGTGGACAATTTGGGGTTATTGTGTCCACACCAGCAAGCTCTATACTAGCTCATGCTTAAGATTCAGCATCCACGGTTTTGAGCGTGAATTTACCACAACACAAGAAAGGAGCAAACAGCTAAATTTTTATTTTTTTACATTCTCTCAGTATATCATGTAACTGATGTCTCCTATCATCATCCTCTGAATGAAGGTTTTAATAGGCCTGGTTGGCGCTTAAAACAATAAATCAAAAGCCATTACACATGAACTCACACACCATATATGCAATATTATATATACTTCTGACAAACTGACCTCTGTAACCATGAAACGTTATGGATATTTTTATTTTACAGTTACTGTTTTCATATGAAACCCAAATATGTAAACCTTTTATTTTTATTTTTTACAGAAGATAAATATTGATCCAGTGGTTTCCCCATTTGCTTGGGAAATGACATCACAATTTGTGCAGTGTGAGAGAGTCTGTGGCTGTTCAACCATTGAATGCTTTGCTCTTTGCTGATCCTGTTCATATCAATTGCTTTCTCTGATTATATACAAACTGGAGTTTTAGAACCACTCTAAAGCACTTGCTGGCTTATGATGATAGGATTAATAAGAGTACAGCTGCTGTAAATTACAAATTATAGTTTAATATTAATTAAGGGGAACTGGTGAAATTGTTATTTATAAAGCTATGCACTGATAGTAAAATGTTTAAATTTTTTTTACAGAATATATGAAGGGATTTTGAGGGTTATTCCTCATTTTTTACCCAGATAAATTACAACCTTGTTGAATTCTAATAACAGAGCATATAAAACGCAATCCTTGCCCTCAAACATTAAAGACGAGGAGAAAATTTCTCTTCTGGTAAAATTTTCCTGTTAAACATATAGTGGTATTTGTCAATAATGAGACATCAGGGAAGCTCCAATCCACACCAAATTGCAGATCAACGTGTCTGTAAATGGATTTTAAATAGGCATGTATGGTTGTGGTAACAAAACACGGTATTAGCCACTTAAATATATCCCCTGTAAACTTTGGCCCCCAAGGGCAACTGATAAGATCCAGTAGATGTCCCAGGTGGAATTTAGAACTGCACAGCTCCAGGAGAGATATTGAACATGCCGGGGTCAAACGCCTGGCCTTTGAATGGCGAGCCATCAGCTTCCCAACCCTTCTTCAGCATTTCATGCACTTTCTGTAGGGAGCCAGAGGAGGAAATACATTAACAAAGAATTAATTATTTCAGGGTATGGAGCTATGGGGACAGTGATGTACGGTTGTGTAATTATAATAGCAAATATAGCAGGACAGGACGTAGAGTAAAAGAGGCATGTGGAGGGGCTGGGCATGACCACTGAGGTGAGTGGACGCTAATCAGATCAGCTCCTGCTTACAGTGTTATAACTGCTCATAAACAGCCGCTTCGCGATAACTGCGCATAAACATCAGTTTCTCGATAACTGGGACTGCCAGGCGAGGGGGGTCACTGCGGGGATTCTGCAGATACTAAATATGCAGATCTTTCAACGAGATCCCCCCCGACCGTACCACACGGCCTACAAGCGTGGCTGGTGCAGGAGAGACGGCCGCTCTCCCAACGCCATGCGACACTGAATATCCGACTTTGGGCCATTGTCGTCTCCCCTCCCCACATATGCACTGGTAGGGGTTATGTCGGTCTCAGGTGGCAGTTTCCAAGCTCCAAAGCAACAACCTCAACAGAGACTTTTTTATATTCTTGACATGATTATTATAAAAATGTGCTGTTTCTACATGCCCAGTTATTATCTATGTTGACAAATCTTTATGTGCTAACGTGGCATTTTAAACATGCTTGTATATTTCTTGCACACAAAAAAATAAAGAAATAAAAAACCAAAAAAAGGCTTTTGGATGTATGGGCTGTATTATAAGATGCAAATCATGATTGAGGAGAGTGACAACTCAGTGACTGTTAAGTTAGTACAAGAATGAGAGGGGCAGATTGTAGTGTTACAGTAATGTGTGAGCCTAGGAACTATACAGGAAGCAGATATACAGATCTACAATGTAGAATGGCCACTGTGCAAAGAGTAGAATGATATGGAATGAAAGCTGTGTTAAGTCAGTCCAGTATGTATGAGTGACTTCTGTTGGGGCTGTACATTAGGATAGAAAGAAGTGCTGGTGCATGAAATTGTGGGGTAAATGTAGGAACTAGCAGCATTGGATGGGCAATAACAGCTATGAGGAAGTGTAAGGTGAGAACTGGAAGCAGCAGCAATGATGCAGGAGAACATGGATAAAGATAGCCTATGTTTGAGCTTAGTGAAACAAAATCTGAATAGAATGGCAGGCAGAATAAAGCAGTACTTTACTGTGCTTTGACTTATCAGGACATACCATTTCATGACTCTGTGGTTTCCCTTGCAGTTTCTGGTGGTAATCGAAAGTAAGTCTGTCCAACACAGCATGCTCCTCGTCATCAACACATGCCATGCTGCGTTCCTTGTTGATCTTGTCAATGTCAATTGTTTCCTCTCCTTCCAAGATTGCATTCCACCAGTATTCCCCAATTTTACTCAGACTGATCTGTAGGAATAATGGCTTGTGACACATTGCAGCTTACAAAATGAGAAAGTATGTGCATTGGGGGAAAAAAAACAATAAAAATAAAGAGCCCATCTTCTTAGCTTCCTTTGCGGCTGGTACCGTCCCACAGGACTATAAATTTGTAATAAAAAGGAGGAGCACCCCAGGACTCGGCAAATCGTGGTATAATGGTCATCACAAAAGGGCAATGTTTTGACACTGTAGATCTCTTTCTCAAGCCATACACATATGTGTCATAGCAAAATATTATATAGGTGTGCACAGGAAAAATGAAAGTAATATGTAACAATCTGCATGCAATCAAGCAATCAGATGTAAATGCAAAAATTGTTGTTTTTTTCTTTTTTAAAGAGACATGTTCAGTATATTTTGTGACATTGGTAACACATTGTATCTGCATTTAATAGATATATTGGTTTATTTCCATCTTTCTCATGTTATTAGACACACAGGATGTATTTATCACGGTAAGATAACAGTTCAAATTGACAGATCATTTTTTGCAGTTACTTCTGATTGCTTGGTTGCAAGCAATTTGTTACACATTACTGTGATTGGATGATTTCTTTCTTGCACACCTCTATATAATATTTTGGTATGACACACTTTATTTAGGTCTTGAGAAAGACACCTACATTGCCAAAACGTTGCCCTTTTGGAATAATTGAATAAAACCACCATTTGTTGAGTTCTGGGGTGTTCCTCCTTCTTATTAAGAAAGTATATTCATTATTATGGTAGACTGTCCGTTTTACTCTTAGTAAAAGCAGTAGCCTAATGACCCTGCAGTGCTAAAGCCTATACATTAATTTGGATACACAGACATCCTAAGTAATAGTGGACTAGCTCAATTCACATTAAACAACTCAGTATAAACACACACATACATTTAAATGGGCAGCTTCTAAAGTCCAAAAGGTACACACAAACAATCCAGAAAACAAAATAGCGACAAATGATCTCATATGCCACTTGTTAAAATGCCTCTGTAATAAACCTAAAGCTCACTGGCTGGAATGGTTACCAAAAGGGTAGCCTTTGACCTAACATCTCTGCATGCATTATTGCTGAATACACTGCAATAGGTAATGATGAAACCCTATGACAGGGGTAGGCAACCTACGGCACTAGTGCCATGCACGGCACTCGAGGGGTCTTTCCACGGCACTCAAGGCTGCTAGAGCCAAACAGGCTCTGGCCTATCAGGAGTCTCAGTGAAACTTCAGATATCTGCTAATACGAAGAGGTAGTAAAGGGCAACCCTCAATTTATGCATTGCAGCACGTAGAGGAAATGATCTCAGATCACTTTATTCCGGCACTTGTGAATGGGAATCCACACTGTAGTAGAGCAGCCTGCAGCTGCTGTTGCAAATCCTGTCCTTGACTTGTACCTGGCCAGCCTGGTCCCCACTAGAACCCAGGGAAGCCACCCACACTGCAAGATATACACAGACCTGCAGAATAAGCCTCCCATCATACAAATAATACGAACAGCCTACACACAATCCCCACAAACGCAACACCACTAACAATCCACATACATGCACACAAACCCACATGCAGGCTCTCACATGCAATACCCCAAACAGCCCCCACACACTACCAAACACACAATGGGACATATCCATCCACACACAATTCCACAAGCAGCCCCCATACACAGCCCACATTCATAGGTATCATACACGATACCATAAACTACTAATGAACATATACAATATAATAGCTAATATACGCACAAATTCAACGGTACAAAGCAATTACAGTAAAAATAACACAAGCAGAATACGGCAGCATACATACCTCAATTTAAAAAAATAGGATCAGCACGCTACGGGACATCAAAATCCTATATCGGCACAGTGCTGCTAAAAGTTTGCCTACCCCTGCCCTATGACAACACTTTGACCTAAAGATCTTTTTCAAAACATGTTCTTATGTCATCCAAAAAACAATAGATAAATTCATAACATATGAGGCCAAATGAAACACAAGAAAGCACGTAAAGGAAAACTCCAGGCACCATAACAACATAATGAGAATGAAGTTGTTATGGTACAATACGTCCCTGGTGTTGTCTTACGTTCAGGGGTTCCACTGTTAATGAACAGTTTAGAAACAATGTTTTCAGTCTGACGACGATCAGCTCCCCATATCCGTATGAGGTGAGGGCTTGAATCAGGACACTTTGAAATGGTGCCACTGAAATGTACGTAATTTTCTCAAGTAAATTTGTGAATGAGGACCTACACTGAAAGTGTCACTTAACATTCTTAGCCAATCATTCTTAGCCAACCATTGGCGCCCAGTCTGAGGCTTCCTGTTTCAGGACTCAGACAGATGTTAAAGGGGCAGAGCTAACTGGCGCCAGGCAGATTTAACCCCTAAAGGTAAGCTAATACCAAGGAGCTTCTGGCATCATAAAAAGTGTATCCCAATTATGTTGTTATGGTGCCCACAGTGCTCCTTTAAAATCAGTATCTGAAGCAGATAATGCAAGGGAAAGCTGGCGAAAACATCAAGGATATGTTGAACAATTTGCTGTACAGTCAGCATCTATTTAAACCTGGTATGTAATAGACTTGTGTAATAGTTAGTTTGGAGCAGTTCGTCCAAATCAAATTTCTTTTAATCCACGACTTTACAAAATTACCTGTCCATCTCAACAAATTGATCTGTAAAACCCAAACATATTGTATTGTTCAAAAAATATTTAACCTCTTCAGGACCAACTGATCTGCAAGCACACATTATTATTGCATGCATACATGTCAATATTTAGATTATATTGGTTTCTGAGGTCTTAATTATGTCAAATGTTTTGTTTTATTATGTAGTCTGGTAACATTTCTGTAGTTTGGGCAAATCATATTGTGTGTTGATTGTCAACTAGAAGTTCATATTGTACAAGAAGGTGGGAAAATACTTGAGTATGCTTCTTCACATTATGTGCTGTGCCCCATGATTCCCCATGCTTATTTGTGTGCTTAGAGATGTTCCTTTGAGGCTTAGTTAAAGTACACTCTAGGAACCAACATAACCTTAGTGTGTGTCATAGGTATTGGTCTCATATTCGTGCTGTGCTTATCTCAAGTCCAGGATTTAGGGATTGCCCTGTTGTATCTAAAGTGTTTGTTCCTCCCCTCCCCCCCAAAATACATTAGACACAGCAGGGTAATCCCTATATCCTGGACAGTTCGGGGGGGTCCTTGAGGACTGGGTTGAGAACCCCTGCTCTAAAGGAACCTAAAAATCATACTTTTGTATCCACTATTACCACTCAGGGCAACTCATGCAAGTATAACAATGACATGCCAGCAATGATCACATGTGTATTCTCAAACAATACTGTCAATCAATCACACATCCCCTTTCTGTGTGGAACTGCCTCAAAATCAAAATGGACGATTCCTCTTTTTAAGCCTAAATAGCCAAATTAAAAACATTTTCCAATCCAGTTTTTCTTCGGGCTCAGCTATTTTGTCTTAAATTTGCAGCTAGTCAACTCAACAGTTGCAGACTAATGAATAACGATCACATCCTCACACATTACAATGCAATCTGCATTACCACAATGCACTTTCCAGGTTCCAGGCTCCAAAATGAGGTTTCTGCATTTATTTTGTGAGTGAAATTTCCATTCATTACAACATGTTCCCCTTCTCCATCTCTCACGACCACACGGATCGATGTGCTTTGCAGATCCACAGTTACCTAGAAGAAAAAACAGAAGGAAGGAGAGCTACTTGTGACATGCACTACAGAACTAAAATTACTATTATGCAAAAAAATACTTTATTTCTTAGATTTAGTCAATTGTAAATTTATACATATATGAAGGTCAATTACAGAAACACTTTTATTTACTTTTTTGTATTTCACTTTACACAAAAAAAAAAATCATGAGGCATCGAGTAACATCTACCAAAGACTGTTTGTCAGAATCAGCCTCCACGAAAAGTGACCCAATAGGTATACATCTGATGGACCTATAAACGTATTGTCAGATACCTAACCTGAACAGTTTTCATGTCTGGTAATATCTACATTAGAATAAGAGATCTGTGTAGAGGTTTTGGAAGGATAACCACAAATGTAATAATCTCAAATTATCCATTTCCAACCTCTTTAAAACAGATTAAATAAGTAAATCTTGCCACTATTCTCAGACTGAGCTCTTTTCCAGATCGCTGTTTAATACTTAAACAGTGATTTAGGGGAATACTACAAACTGCGACCAATATCGCCTATACAGCAACTTGGGGAAAACCTAGTATACACCAGCACACTGAATAGCTATATAGCCCCTTTAGAAGAAGATATACCTTTGGAACATTTCCCTTTACTCAAACATTAATGATTCCCTGAACGTAGTAATCTATCAATATCTATAGACAGCACTGTCCGATATATTTTTTCTGACTGATAGGTCTATAATGATTACCGCTTATATTTGTTTTCTGACTGGTCTTTTTGTACATGTATACTTACGGGGCGTCTATTAGTGCACAGATCACAGCAGAAATAGGATGATATAGGACAGAGTTTCAAATCTGGATAAATGACTCCCCTTCAAGTGAGCATCCGCCCCTAAACAATACCTGCCCCTTACGGACAATAGACCTTTCGGTAGGAGCAGTTAGATACGCCATACATGTTGCAGAGGGAGTTTCCAGTTCTCTTCAACCACTCCCTCAGAGGGGTAGCAGTCATGAATACTTGACCTCTGATTGGTAAGCTCTCACTTTATTTATGCAATTACATCATGGGGTGAACTTAATTTCCCAAACTAAATATTGGCTTATACGGAATGAGGTAAATCCATTTATAAAGTAGCAATCTACCAGTTACAGTTTGGCCCCTGGCAAACGTGCATCAGCAGCACAAAAACGTGCATTAGGCTATTTGCCTCATGTTCATCTTGCACTTGAACACTTTTTGCATTGTACTCTTTTAAGTTTCTTCAAATGTATCTGTGGCGAAAAGAACCTCGCCACAGGCACCTGGAGGAGCCTGCTTGTCAGCCGCCTGCCCTAGGACTATGACCCCTGCAATAGACCTTGGCTAATATACTTTAAAAAGGCTCTGTTCGTGCAATTGGGAACAGCCGCACGAGCCAAAGGCCACCCGGGAGCTTGTTAAGCCCAATTGATACTTTGTAGCAATTTCCACCGCAGTGTTTTAAGTGTTCGTCTGGGTGGCCGCATTTCATATAAACTATCACGAGGTGGCGGACATCTTGTTTCACAGGCAGTGGTGTTTGGGCATGAATTTCATGGAACTAAAATCGGACACAGAAACTCCCGAACACCGCTGGACTTCCATAATTGCCTGTGTTCGTTTCTACGCCACTTAGAAAGGCACTCTTTGGTGGAAACGTTCCCACGAACAAGGGGAACAGGCTACACAAGTAATTTAAGGATTCCGTTCGGTGTTTTACGTACTTTTGTGCTCCCAAAAAGAGACTGACTGTTAGCCCTGATTCCCTGGAACTTTTTGGGACATAAGACCATGTGCACAGTCGGTCAAATAATTGACTTCCATGAAAATCCCGAACCCCTGAACCGACCTGGGTGATTTTTGGATATGTTGGTCATCCAGATCGGGGCTATCAGCGGATATGACTTTTGTGGAGTTTTCATGTGTTTTGGGAGTGCTTTTGAAGTTTGTTAAATTGTATGTTTTGTACCTGATAATTTAATTACATAATTTGTGTGCTCAGGTAATTATCTCTCAGGCACAGGGCAAGAGTGTGTGGAATGTTTGATTGTAACTAGTCTCCTCTTAGGTCCAGTGGGGAGTGCGCCTGGAATGTAATTAAGGAAACCTCTGGCATGGGGAGTTACATAAAAGGCCATGTGTGGCTCCCATTAAACCAGAAGACTTCCCAGCATAGAGCCTCGTCTAATGTGTGGGGGGGAATTGCTATAATCACCTGCTCTTTTAAGAACATACTGCTATACTCTCTTGGAGGAGAGGTCTTCTCACTGGTCCAGGGTGAGGAGGGACAGCAAGACCCCAGCCAAGCTACTTTGGCTAAGAGGCTAAGGTGGTTATGGTGTCCGGTGGAATGCTTTGGGTACTCGGCTACAGCTAGGAAGCACGATTGGTGGAGGTACCCAGTCAGGATGCCAGGCGGTGCGCCACAGTAGCCTACTTATATTTAGCTAGTTTTCAAGGGAGGGAGGTCGGTACAATAGGCTGCTAGCAATTTGTTGCTATAGCGGAGGTATTATACCTTTCTGTTTCTTCTGTCTGGCTCTGTGGAACATTTTCACACCACTAAGTTTATATTCCTCCTCTTATCATTAAGATTGGAGTTAAGTTCTGATTGATGTAAATGGAATATGATTATTGAACTATATCTAAAGGGACACTATAGCACCCAAAACAACTAGCTTAATGAAGCAGTTTTTGTATATAGATCATGCCCCTGCAGTATCACATGCCACACCTCCCAGCATCTGATTTGCACAGCCTTCCTAAACACTTCCTGTAAAGAGAGAGCTAATATTTAAAAGGACACACTAGTCACCAGAGCAACTACAGCTTATTGTATTTGTTCTGGTGAGTAGAATGATTCCCTTCAGGCTTTTTGCAGTAAACACGGGTTTTCAGATAAAAGTCAGTGTTTACCTTACAGTCTAGGGCGAGGTAGGCAACCTTCGGCACTCCAGATATTGTGGACTACATCCCCCATAATGCTCTTAAACCCATAATGCTGGCAGAGCATCATGGGAGGTGTAGTTAAAAACATCAGCAGTGCCGAAGGTTGCCTATGCCTGGCCTAGGGACACCTCCACTGGCTACTCCTCAATTCTGGGGCAAAAATACCAAAGAACCTATTCTTTCAGCCTTCTATTTACGTTTGAATGTTACCACACCTGCATCCTCCTCTCTAATTATAACTAAGTAGCTCCTTTACAAATAATATACCAAGAAACATGTGGAAGAACTTAGAAAGTTGTATATTAAAGCATTATAGTGGTCCACCTTTTGCTACAAAGTAATGTGTTTTAAGGTAACTGACAGGATTTTGATTAGACTTCAGATTCAAATAAAGGACCACTATAGTGCCAGGAAAACAAACTCGTTTTCCTTGCACTATGTAGTCCTTAGGTCCCCCCCCCACCCTCATGGCTCCCCTCCCGCTGGGCTGACGGGGTTAAAGCCCCTTCAGCCACTTACCTTTCTCCAGCACCAGGCTCCCCCGGCGCTGGGGACCTCTCCTCCTCCTGCTGACGCCAGCGCCGAATGTGCATGCACGGCAAGAGCCGTGTGCGCATTCAAACCGCCCATAGGAAAGCATTACCCAATGCTTTCCTATGGATGTCAACGTCTTCTCAATGTGATTTTCACAGTGAGAATCGTGGAAGGGGCCTCTAGTGGCTGTCAGTGAGTTTCTCTGAAACTGCTATGTTTTCAGCTGCAGGGTTAAAACTAGAGAGACCTGGAAACCAGACCAGTTCATTGAGCTGAAGTGGTCTGGGTGCCTATAGTGGTCCTTTAAGTAATTTTGTAATTCATAGCACTTCAGTTTAACATTTTTAGTAATTTGAAGGGATGATTACAATTCAAAAAGTATCCTATTTTTGGATAATCTCAATTATTTTCCAACACTTCGTGACACGATATGCAACGCTTTCTTCTAACATATTTGTCATATGTGCTTGTCATTCTGATTATAACATGTATGGATTGAAAATAATGATTAAATATATATGCATATATAAACTGTGATTTAAATAAAGTAAAAACATTGCAGCAATAGAGCATTAAGACATTTTCAGACTCATTTTATCTTTATAAATTAGTCTCTACCACCCTCTGCTGGGAGTCTGTGATGTGTACACAACACTATTTCTGTGCACAGGAAATTAACTTACTGGTGTCAATCCAAAACATCAAGGTTTACTAACCCTGTTCTAGTGCCTTTCTTTCTGAAACTGACTTTTTTCTTGTTGATATCTGCCATTACTTAAACTTTACCCTAAGTTGCCTCCAAGATGCTACATGAGAATGCTAGTTTTCTGGATAGCATGTGTTTTGTAAATATGAACAAGGAATCACCTGTCTTCCTTTAATGACATCTTTATTCACTGGGATTTTAATTTCCACGTCTGTGTAATCCTGAGACCACATATAGTTTTTTCGCACAGCACCATTGTAACTGTCTGGGTCCTTCTGGAAATCCTCTTGGACCCTTATAAGAAATACAGGCAATATTAGGCAGAGAAGAACCACGCTAAATATAGGTTAATTATGAAGGGTTGGAAATTGATCTAGCCTAATGCAGAGTATAATCACCATCCCATGATATATAGGAAGTATATGTATTCCTGATTTATACTGATCACAAAGGGGAGTACTTCAAACACCTTCTTGGATAAGCAAGGTGGGATGATAGTGCTGACGCACAAAATTTATATAGTAATCTAGACTGAAAAAGTCCATTGAGTGCAAACTTTAAAACCCATCTCTTCATGCTGTTGATGAAAAGGGAGGCAAATTTTTTAGATATTACATTTACTACAGATGCATGAGATAGCCTTCAAGCATGTGTGGTAGAGACTATTATAATAAGAGGGTTTGTGAAAGCTTAGATTACACATAATGCTGCCTGAGCTGGAGACACTATGAAGACTCAAAAACCTTGTATTACTGTGATTTTAAGTACAACCATAAGGGTTTCCCAACTATACAACAGTTTGGAGTCATCAGGTGCTTTTTAAGCAGAATAATGAGGCATAATCTACCTGCACAAGAGATTTAGGGAGGTGTTGCCCACGTTTCAGGAGTAGGGTGGCACAAGGAGACACACGATAGATGGATAGCAGAAGACAGTAGTAATTAAATGAACAGCAAACCACTATAAAGGGAATGACTGTATGCAGCAACATTTTGGTGGGACATGCAAGAAAACATATCGTATGATAAAGAGAAAGAAGAGAACATAGAAAAAAAAAAAGATACAACATATTGGGTAAAGCAAAATAAGCAATGGAAAGAGAAAATTAATAAGTTTAAATGGGAGTAGAAAGGTGTTAGAATAAACCCATAATGGATAAAATAACCATCTAAATAATAATACACTTTTCAGAATAAACGGTTTTACATTTCCATTGATGCTGCTGCTCCAGGGCTGTTTCCATCAACTTCTGCTCTATCTTCTTTCTTTTCAACATCAGTTGCTTCCCTTTCTGCCTTCTCCTGCTCCACATGACCCTCTTCTTCAGGTGTCTCAACGACCACTTCTTCTCCTGGAACTAGTTCCTGCTCAGTCTCTGCTCTTTTTTCTTCCGGCTCTTTTCTTTCCAGTTTAGCCTGCAACTTTTGCATTCTCTGCTCATGATCCTGTAGTGCCATCCGCTCATAGGTTTTGAAGGTCTGAGAGAAGATAAGCATGATTCACTACGAGGACCAAGTCATGGTACCACACTGCAAACGACAAGTACTTACCTGCAGTACCATATTCTGAGCAACACCTGGAGGGAACCCCAAGCGTTCTTGTGGACTCAAAAGCAACCGGTAAAAGTCTGTCTTACGGTACAAGAAGCCAAAATAAACATTTAGAAAGTCTTGGATGTTTCCCACGTGTTGAAGTATTCCTAAGAGAGCGTGGTCATAACGGTCTGATAGCTCTGGTTCCATCACAATGCTCTACAAATACATACAAGGTTTGTCAAAAAAGTATGTGTATCTAAAGTTCTATATTCTCTTTAATTCCATTTTACAAATATGTGGCACTCCTTGTTCCCGTCTTAAACCCCCCACAAAATTAGATCTCAGGTTCTTACCCTACAAAGTCTTTAAAACACAGAAATGCATAGTAGCTTGGGAGGTCTCCATTAAAAACACTACAACAACCGTAAGCACAAGATATTGATGTAGTTATAGTACTAAGAGGATTCTTGGAAATTGAATTCAATTTGATCATGCTTTTCAAATCTCCTTTGCAGTCTGTGGGAATGGGTGAGAAATCTAGGTGCAATAGATCCAGACAAAGACATAAAAATGCAAGGGATATAAAAGGTATAATTGCTGAGAAGGTTTCTAACACCATAACAAGTAAAATACAGCAACAGTAGTTATAGTACTTAGAATGTCACTTTATGTTACAAAGAGAATAAAGGGATTATGGTACTCTCTAAACTCATAGATGACAAAGTAAGTATCCGCTAAGTGTATGCAAAATGAAGCACGCTCATTAGAAGTTTTACTTGCCGGAGGATGATAATGGCCTCCTCAAGATGCTCATGAGAATTTAACATAAACAACTACATATGCAACATTCCATAACACTTGGCACATGTTTTCTGAGAGAAGATTTCAACACGTGCAGTGGTACATATATTTTCAGAGGTCATATTTGCAGTTTTTTTTCTAGCACCATCGAAACCTTCTAGAACACGATATGGGGAGCTGTAGAACTTGATACTGTCAAGTCAATTTAAGCCTTTCTCTGAATGCCTCAAGTACAGCGGTATAAAACCACATGTATCACTCTGACATGGCCTTGTAATACCAAGTACTATTTTCTATTATAATGAGTTCTCAACAGTTTACTCTTGAACGTATTAATGGAATATTATTTACTTATTTATAGAATCATAATTTTTAATGTCGATAACATGCACTTACTCATCCACTATGTAGATGGCCAAATTTAGCTTTTTCTTGCTTTGAGATAGGGATGCAGCGAAATTTCGACAGCCGTAATATTTTGCCGAAAACGGGTCAAATTTGCCAAAATAATTAAAAAATAAATAAATGTATATATATATATATATATATATATATATTTATTTTTGGTAGTTCATAGTTTAACAGACATGCTTGCATTAACAATTCAGATGATTATCACAATGAAAGATAGTAATGATAACATGAAAAGTCAAGAATACGGGGGCGGGGCCTGCTAACCGACCAGACCAGACGCCATTCTCGAAAGCTCCTCCAAAAACAACTTGAAACCAGCCAATATCCTACCAACAAAGCCCCATCCGACCATAAAAACGCTCCAGCTGACCTGCCTAACCGGAGCCGCACCGATAGATGCCGTTTTTATACACGGCGAAACACTCCAAGCCGCGGCGCAGGTCTGCGGCCTACTACGCGCCGACGATCCCGGGCCTGGACGCTCTCTTGCGCGGTAGCTACACAGTGAGCCCGCCATGCACCGAGCCTCACGCCACACAGACCACCCAAAACTCCATGCCTGCAATGGGACGCCGGTCACAAAAACCGAACTCCACGGCAGACAGCAGGGACATAGGAGACATGCTGAGGCAACCTGCACAACCCAAAAACGCTTCCCCCAGAGAATCAAGGGGCGAGCACCCTGGCGCAGAGGGAGAAAGAACCCACGCTACTCACACAGGCAAGTCTCATAAACTCCATTGAGACCGCTGACAGGTCGGCCCCCCACCACCAAAAATGACTTGAAAACCTGCTTGCTGACATACACAGATTATGGGCAGCAGACCTAAAACTGTTGAGAAACGACATACAAACCATCACAGACCGGGTGCAAACCGCTGAGGAGGATATCCTTGACGCCAGATCAGACATAAAAACCCTTAAAGAGACAGTGCACCAGCTACAAGAACATCACTCACACTTCTCCCTGCAACTCACGGCCCTAGAAGACAAACAGCGCCGAAATCACATAAAAATACGTGGAATCCCTGATGAAGTTACAGTTGAGGAGCTCCCACACTATCTCCGCAGGTTACTATCCACCATATTAACCCATGCTATCGCCAAAACGATAATCATAGATGGGGTGCATCGCATCAATAGCTCTGCCAATTTGACACCTGGTGTGGCAAGGGACGTCATCCTCAGATGCCTAACCTTCCAAGACAAAACCCGAATAATGACAGCCCTGAGAAACAAAACGCCTCTGACCTTTGAGGGCTCCTCCTTGTCTTTTTTTCAAGATCTCACCAAAAGCACACTACTCTGGCGCAAATCAATGGGAACTGTCACCTCACAATTGAGAAACGCAAGCATCATCTACCGCTGGGGAGCCCCAGGGTCCCTGATAGTACCCCACAATGGAACTAATCACACCATCACCTCTGTAGAAGGGGCACCAGCGCTCATGAAAGCTCTGGGACTGGTAGGGCAGAACAGGGGACCGCACTCTAACACTGCCGCTGGAAACTGGTACCTAGACCGCATCACCCCCTTCGTCCCAAGGAGCGACACCTCGCAAGCTACTACCACCTGAACGCACCCGAGTCTGGACATGAAGAACTGTTGATATATTGTTTAAATTTGTTTTCTCACTTCTCTTTCCTCTATTCTTACATATCTCCCATGTTTGTGTAGAATGCATAGCAATTGGAGACGACTAATAGTGAACTGGCCCGTAGCCTGAAGCCTCCTGACTTCTCACCCCCCCGCTACCCCCTTAGGTTAGGGGTACTTTATAGAATCGGAGGTACAACCCCCATAAGTGGGGCGATCTAACACCACTACTGCACACCTGATATTCCCAACCTCAGGCCACCAGACAATCTTTAGAATATACCCGGGGTGAACACCTACAATCCTCCATGAGCTAAAATATGCTGACCCCATTCTAGTCCACTAGATACAGTATCTCGAGCATATTAATACCTAAAGCTCGGGAATACCTGAGAGCTCCCACCCATACAACTACCCCTTTATCCAGTCGCCCCTCTCAGACACATCCCGAAAGTTGAACCTTGTTGCATTATGGGAAAAAATTAAAAATTGGTGCCACAGTATAGTAATGCTATTGTAAAACTACTCTGTATACCTGCATCTTACGAATTTGCCATGTACCAACCATGTCTTTATTATGCACCACCAAAATAAAGAATTATAAAAAAAAAAAGTCAAGAATACTGGACTTGGGACGGGGACACAATGGGACAGGGAGGTTGGGGAAGAACATTATGGGACAGGGGGAACACTACGGGACAGGAAAAGGGGGAAAAGAACACTATGGGACAGGGAACGGGAGAAAAGAAGACAATGGGACAGGGGACGAGAGAAAAGAACACTACTTTGAGATATCACATTTTATGAATGCTGTATCTCTGATGTACCACATTTCACTACATGTATAACAGTTTGTGTATAACAAACATATTGATAGTAGTTACAATAATGCTGTTAAAACTACACACTATTTTCATGAAACTATGGTCTGTACCACACCAGAGCCATGTTTTTCAGTATAGGCCGTCAAACCACTTATGCTGAAGCACCATCAGTGTGTAAACAAAACAGTGCACTACAATTCCAAGGAACTGTACACTCCTTTCAATCACAGACAGAAAAGAAAGGGATACTCTAAGCATCATAACAATTACAATGTGCTGTAGTGGTTAATGAGCCTGGAAAACCCTGGCATAGTCTGACTCTAAGCTCTAAAAACAGTTTGTCAAATTACCAGTCTCTTTCAGTCGCCCGCAGTACTTTGGGTCTGAGCTGGCAAGCCAAAGCTGAAGCTCATACCTTTGCACTATAATACCAACTCACACCAGCTGTCAGCCATTCATACATATTTTTGACAGTCTATCGACAGATGGCAGCATGGAGTCCTGAAACTATTACCACTACAGCTCACTGTAGTAGCTATGGTGCTTAGGGTATGCCTTTTACTTTTACTAGCTTTATTGTCACCAAAAAGGTTTGTCTTTTTTATTCCGGTTATTAATAACAAACATGTAATGATTACAGTCATAATTATTCAACATATATGAGCTTGGGTTGCAACAAAGGACAATACAGACTTTAGAGAATGTAAATGTAACTTCTGTGTGAAATATCAGTCATGTTTACCTGTAGTAAAATCTGTATAATCTGGTAAATCTAATTCCTGCTACCATTATGATAAGGTGAACTGTCACTTCCTAGGATTTATCTTTAATATTATATTTACTTATCCCATCCAAAAGAAATATAAGTACTTCATAAAGTCAGATAAAATACTCATATTGACTGTGTTGGAATTTCATAAATATACTGAGAGTGCCAGGAAATGAAGAGGACCCAGTGAGAGAAGATAGCACCCACGAGGGACAGGTTCAGTTATGGAGAACTCATCTTTGCCTGTCCCTCACACCCACTGGACCCCTAGTGGTGATGTCACGGTCAGTGGTATTTACAAAGTCCCCAGACGGTGACAGTGCACTTTCAGTGTTCAATACATATATAAGTTCAATACACATATCAGTATGGGCAACCAATCATGGTCATGGTTCCTTATCCTTCTATATTTAGAAAAATATAGAATTGTGAGATGTGAAGAATAAAAATTAAATGTAAAGATCTACACCTTATGCCGTAACCGGATACCTCCACCTGCACCCTATTAAATGAACACTCCATCCACCATTCATTTTTACAGAGAACTGGATGCCCACCCATTGTAAATAATTCCAAACGTTTTAAGGATGACATGACTTCTCACTTGGGGTATGCCTGGCGTAGCTCCCCGTCTGAGCTATGCTCAGTTGTGCAGGGAGTAGCTCAAGGATAGAGCACTTGTGGGACCTTAACCACTGAAGCACCATGTACAGATTATGGTGCATGCAGTGTTGCTTTAATCATTATTAGAAGCACTATCATCTCTGCTGTAGAACTGGCAGTCCTCATAGAGAAAGCAGAGAAGAAAAATAAAAAACTTTCTATTTCTCCTCCTCATTTGTAATGCATGTCCTGGCAGTGCCTGGCTAATCTGGAATGCAATGTCACTTGCTAACTCTTTAATATATTTTTTTAAGAAAACAGATGATCAGATTTAAAAAAAAGATTTAAAAAAAAAAAAAAAAAAAAGTTCTATTCACTTGTGTATTTTCCAGAAAATGACTATTTCCCAGTAAACATAAAAACATAACAGATTCTCTGCCCACTCAAAATAAAACGATTTTTTAAAATATGAATTATTTGATCTTAAAAAATGCTCTCCTCCCCTATGAGTTCTCTTAGCAACGACCTACATCATTATATACAGCCTTTGGACCAAAGTATTGATTGGAATCTGCAGGAAACAAAAATGTTATCTACAGAATTCTGTTTTCTATCAATAGGATAACGTGGAACAGAATTCTGACTGATCGTAGGTACTGTATCATTGTTTATATATTTGATATGTCTGTGTAATATATAATGGGATCCAATTTTTGAATCGATTTTCCCACTAGCTGCACATCTCCCTGGATATATAATCTATATATTATATTGTACCCCTCAAACCACAACAAGGAGGGCAAGTGTTACTCCCATTCCCTCTGTCAGTGAGCGATACAAATATAATATTAGTATTCACATGCTTACTGTCTCACTCACTGTTTTCACTCCGCTGTCGCCTACGAAAAAAAATTACACTTCCTGGATTAAAGTTTGATTGTTCGTATCCGCTTCCGGGTTTTGCTTTTGTTGCATTACTTTGAATGCGCCAAAACAAATATGGCGGCTGGAGCATCGCTCCTAAGACATCAGAGCACGTGTGCTGCCCGAGTGGAAACAAGGAAGATGCTACAGGGTTCCTACACTAAAAAAAAAAAATAAAACCACTTTTCAGTGAACTAACTATGGTATTTAAACACAACAAGCCTACATTATTGATAAAAAAAAAAAAAAAGGACACGATGGGACTGTTTTTGGTTTGTTTTATCGAATCATAATTACCATAAGGGCTTATGTGTTTTTAGTACTTCAGATCAGATGCAAAGAGGTTACAGGCTTCAAAGGGAAACTAACGGGTAAATATTACTCCATATTTTGAATACATTATAAAGATAATGCATTACAATAATGAAAAAAATACTTTAAAAATAAAAAAATTCAAATGAAAGCGCCCTTTGGTGCACTGCTTACAGATATGCCCACACCAGGAAATACAGTTAATCCCATAAACCTCTGCGTACCAGAAAAAAGTAGTTTATCCGCTAAGGCAGTTTCTCTCATCATTTTGAATGAGTGAAACTCTCAGTTTACATACAGTTTTACCAGGCCTCCTAAATGTACCAGTGCCGCCAAAGGCTTTTCAGCCGAAACGTTGTTTTTTTTTTTATTGACTCTGTCCCTACTTCTCACTGAATTTGGTATGGTTTGCTGCTATTTTTTTATATGTCTGGGTTTTCATTATACTAGTATTATAGTGGACTGTTTGCATGATATTTCTTTCATTCAGTTATTACGCATTGAGCGTTTATATTTGCCTATATCATTGCATTTCTGGTAAATGCTTTTGAATAGCATGACTTTGTACCTCTGTGGATAATATTTAAAGAGACAGTCCTATAGTATATACCCATTTAATAAAGATTTTTTCATATATTTAAAGATTTATGGCTGTGCTCCTTACTCTATTCACACTGTTATGTATTTTGGGTTCTTTAGGGGATAGAGCCTTATGTGGGTGAGCACCCAGTATTCATTATATTAGCCTTTTCCTGGGGCTATTTTGTTGTTTAGTCGAGTGTGCCCGACTTGTTTCATTCAGGTTCATAAGTCCATGGCAGCAGAAGGGCTTTCAGACCCGGTGGTTAACTCTCAGTTCTACAACTACTAATACCCAATTTTTGGCATGAATTTATCTCATGGAGAGTGTGCACAGCCCACGTTGTATGTATGTGTGGGACATGTGGATAAAGGTTAAATAGCTAGCCAGGGAAAATGTTTGACAGGAACTGGAGTACTGGAAATAAACATTCATTTACAAAATTTTAAAATGAAACCCTGTACAGACTGAATTTTATCACATGGCAGGAGGCTTCATATTTTGCATAACTTTCTTTACTTTATGCCTCCAGCAGCACAAGTCAATCAATAAACTTTAAACCAATCAGTAACAGGCATCACATCCATATATAAAGCCCTGACAGACACATGACTTCCTCTTTCTTTGCTGCTTACTAGCCAAGGCACAGGTCAGAGTATTTTGCTCCAAACTGTTTTACTGAATATTGCAATTGTCATTAGTTAATCATTTATTGCTTAACTTGTATGTACGTAGTAGGGAATTGCGATGCAGCCTATAACAAAACTAACCCCATTCAACCCCCCAATAATGACAGACCACTTAGTATGGATGAACAGGCCACAGCATTTATTATCACAAACTAAATTACTGCATAACACATCCATAACTTTATTTATTAAATCTCTTCTTTTTCTGTAACCAAAACGTTAGACATAAATAAGCATAAATTAACATATATACATATATAACTCCACACAGTGTTATACAGTGACCCAACCGTCCTTGCCAATAAACATACAGTGGTTCCTAATCACCACTTCCTCTCACCTCCCCCCTCGTCATAAAATCATATCTTTCCAATGCCCGCCATCAGCTGACCTTATCCACGCTCGATGGGCACGACACCTCAGGCAACCTAATGTTAACCTTTTGAAGCAGGGGAGGTTGAGACCTTAAAAACTTGTTCATCTCATTCCATATACTTAAACGTAACCCCTGAAACTCAATTGGCAAGGACATACCCCTGCCACAACCACGCTGTTTTACACCTAAAATCAGCGGGGGACGCCACCACAACCAGCCATGGCCTGTTCCACCACTGCTAGCAGTGCCAGATCAACATAGAATAAGTACTGCACCAGGAAATTAAATGACCATTCGTGATCAATCCAATAACACAACATAGCGCAAAATATATACATACATATATATACATACATATACATATATATACATATACACATATACATAATGTTAGACTCCTTATGTAGCGTAAAACTCACAGGATTTAAAGCCGCCCCCGGCCCGCAATCCAGCACTGGCGGCCGGGGCGGATGGTGTGGAGGGGGAGGAGAGGAGTAGGCCGCGCGGCAGTTGGAGGCCGCATCCCCGGCCTGGAGGTAGTAGGCGGCCCAGTAAGTAGCAGGCTGGGCTGCCATGGGGGTAGCAGGCCGCGCGGCAGTGGCAGGCCTCGTGTCTGAAGGCCGTGCCACCCGCGCGGCCCCAGTAGGCCTCAGATCCCAGCCCCCCCAGTAGTAGGCCGCGTGCCTGCAGCCCCAGACACGCGGCCCCCGCGGTGCCCCGGGCCCAGGGTCCTGCTCCTCACCGGGCCGGGGAGTATGATCCTGGGACAGCCTGGCAGGCGGGTGGGAATGCCTGACAGTGCTGGTGCGGCCCCCAGGGGCAGGGGCCGCATGGGACACCGCAGGGGGTGCCCCAGGGGGAGGGTAGGCCATGGGGGGTGCCCACACCGGCAGCCATACCTCCACTAATGCTTGTCAATTGCTCCCTTAGGTGCCGGCCACCATCCACGCTGCAGCAGCCCTGAGGGATGACCTGATCACCTCAACATCCATCACCTCAGGCTGTGTAAATCTGCAGGCCCAGGCAAACAGGAGCAGGAGGACAGGAAGCTGTTTGCTGGCCCGAATCCCAAGTGGCACTGAGGTAAGACCTCCCCCACACTAACTTACACAGAACATAATCCCACCCACACACTCTTTCCCATCCAATCCCATGCATCTATCCCCACACTCCTACATGTGCCCTTGTCCGCTTAGCTGCGCTATCTCCCCAGGGCCTTTCAGTTTGTTCCAAACTGTTTTTATTAATATTGCTATGGTCACTGTAGTTAGACACCTTATGCTAGACATTCAGTTTTAATCCTAACTGTTTTTTCTGGATACCACTTTAATTAAACTTTATTAATTGACTTTCAGTTTGCTCCAACTGTTTTTATTAATATTGCTATGGTCACTTTAGTTAGATTTTTAATGCTAGACATTCAGTTTTTGCTCCAAACTGTTTCTGGATATGCATGGGCACTTTTGTTAAACTTTATTAGCTTGTCCTGCAATTTTGGCCTAAACGTTTTTCATTATTTTGCACTTGCCTTCCATTTGGATTTGTATAGTGTGATATTCTCCCCCTGTTACCCTTCCCCTGAATTAACCCTGTATTTTCTGCTTTATTAGCCTGTTTTCTGTTGCTGGCACCTTTTCTTTTCTATGCTTTACTCTGGTCTCGCATGGATCGCGGCGTTTTACCGCGAGCACGCTTTTTATTCATTGGTGCTGGGACTTCAGGGCAGGTCTCTGGGGGTTGGGGATGTCGGGGGGACTCTTTTCCATGCCGGCAGACCGCGATCGTATCCTCGATCGTGGGCCGCACGGCACTTTTGCGCGCGAATGGCGGCCATCTTGAATCTCGCGGCACTCGCGAGATTCACGTCGGCCATGTCGTTTGGCCAGTTCATGATTCCCACGAACTGGCGGCTAGTTCTGTACTGTTTCATATATTTTTCCTGTGAAATAAGTTTTACAAGTACTTTTGAGCTCAATACTGTTCATGGGCATGTGGAATAAAGGTTTTATATGTACCTTTCCTGGAAGATTATGAATGGACTGTTCACTGCTGAGCTCTATACTGGCATATTTCATTGGCATGTGAAATAAAAGTTTTATATGTAACTCTGCATGAATATGTAGGACTGATCCCTGCTGTGTGCATCTGCTGACAGTTTGCTCTATTCTGTTCTATACAATTGACATGTTGAATAACAGTTTTATTGTACATCTGGAGGATTATGAATGGACTGTCCCCTGCTGTGGGCATATAGTGGATGCATTACTCTATCTACTGGCAGGGAAATTAAATAGAGCTGATATCTTACTCCGCTCCCTACTCCCACTGGACCTCACAACCATTGGATACACTCCTTCCCCACAGGGATACACCTCCCAGGACACAGTAGTGGAGGCACATAACGGAGTGATTAACAGGGGTGATCCCCCTTACGCTGGGTGACCCCCAAGCGTGGCAGACACCTCTCCAAAGTGACATTGTGGTACAGGGGTGACCCCCCTTACGCTGGGTGACCCCCAAGCGAATCTGGTTCCTGTCCTAGTGACATACATATACTGGGGTGATCCCCCTACTCTGGGTGAACCCCAAGCGAATATTATTCCGGTACTAGTGACATACATATACTGGGGGGAACCCCCACGCCCTAGGGCGGGCTCATTTCCACGGAGTACGATCTGTTACTGTATGCACAGACCGGGTCACACTGAATACATGTATATCGACAGAGCCAGGAAGGAGAGCTCATGGTGCTGCCAATTCTCCACAGTACTATATCCTATAAGGGTGACCCCTTGGATAATTTGGAGGCTACCATACCTCCCCATACACGGGCTACGTCCCGACATTACTGACCGCTCATCCCGGTCTTATTGAGGGTGACCCCCTCCTCAGACCACTCCCAGGAAATCTCTAAGTGGTACTGATTGAAACAATTCTGGGTGACCCCCAGTTGTACGTGGAGGCCCACTAAGTGGCAATAAGTGTACTACCGTACCTGACACCTGTTCGGTACCCCATAGACCGAAAGAGTGTCCCAACATGCCATAAGAGACATTCATACAGGGGTGACCCCCCTATGCTGGGTGAACCCCAAGCGAGTCTTACTCCGGTGCTAGTGGCATAGGTACAAAGGGGTGACCCCCCGCACCCTTTCTAGGGCTTCTACCTTCAGAGTACGCTCTGTCATTGTATGCACAGACCAGGGCGCACTAGATGCATGTATTCTGGCACCTCTATGCTTCAACTGGGGTTCCGTACGCCCTTCCCTTAACCGAGAAGGAGAACTCACAGTGCTGCCAAAACTCCACAATTCTAGACCATATAAGGATGAACCCCGTGGACTATATATATTGAGGCTTTCACGTCTCCCAGACTCGGGCTACGTCCCGACATTGCAGACCGCTCATCCCGGTCTTACTGAGGGTGTCCTCATTCTCAGACCACTCCCCGGATCCTGCGAAAATGATACTGATTGATCAAAATTCTGGGTGACCCCCAGTTATACGCGGAGGCCTACTGAGTGGCAATAAGTGTACTGTTGTACGATCCTGTCTCCCACGGACCGAAAGGGTGTGAACCAACATGTCGGACTTACCTCAATATCCCCGACCGATTTTCAGGCGAGGATTAAGGCTGCCATGACAGCTCCGGGGGAAGAAGTCCTCTCCAGTATGCTGGCTAACAACCCATCCGACAGAGCGGGTGCAACGGCAGCAACACCAATGGAAGATTGAGATACCGACGTTAGGTCGGACACCCATCATCAGGGGACGAGGACTTCATCCTCCCCCCCTTCTCTGGAGATCATGAAAGAATGGAGGGCAGAAGAGGTAAAAGTGACAAGACACGCCTAGCAAGAAAGGTTTTTTCTTTGGCACACTGGACACTCCTGTTTTGACTCACGCACCATCCGACAACCAGGGTCATCCGAATGGGGTTAACCGGAGCACCGGGCCCACTTCTGGCTTAGGAGGCCTATGGGAAAAGAAATCCGAGACAGGCTCAGGATGGAATGCCCACGCCCTCTATGTCCGAACAAGATAGTCCTCACTATGGAGCTCGTGGTGATATGTATGTCCCGATCAGGCCGGGGTCCATGTAAAGGTGTAGGAGGAGGAGGAGGACTCAAAATGAGTTAAGATGAAATACTGGATATGATCAGCCCGGGAAAAAATTCTATACTTTGCGGATCTGACCCCACACAAGACTCACCTCTAGAAGCTCACGATGTAAGGGAATGGGTGCAAAGGGCAATATGTAAGTTGGGGAACGCAAGGCAGACAGGTGCACAGAACGCCGCAAAGCAGCCCGATTAAAGATGGATTTCAAACTATTGAAGTTAGGGACGAAAGAGCGAGGACCTCAGGCAGACGGACTATCGTTTGGAGAACCATTTATCTCAGCAACGGTTTGGTAGTAAGGAAGAAGATAGGAGACTATCACCCAGTCATCAACCTATGCCAACCCAATGGTTTTGGGGCGTACCGACAACTCAAGAAGGAAGGTATCCATCTCTTAGGGGATCTACAAGGTTGGACTTGAAGGGCACTTACCTATAGGTTCACATGGTGCCTCATGAAGTTTCTGAAGTCTGTCACTGCGCACTGAAAAGCAAAGGGTATCTGCTGTCACATACCTAGACGACTTACCTTTTGCAAATCCAATTCATGACTACGTTTACAAACGAGATTTATGTTTACAGTTTCGGGAATTGTTGGGATTCATAGTGAACAGAGAGGAGTTGGTTCGATCCCAGTTCCGAGTGATTCAGTTCCTCTATTTCAGAATAGATTCCACCTTGGGCGGATTACACCTTCCCACATCATTGATAGCGACGATTCGTAAGGAAATTCGACGGGTACGGCGGAAAGGCACCATAACCCTTTGACTATTTCCCAGGACTGCTTCACTACCAGGCCAGACAGTGGCTGAAAGCTCACTGCCTGAGATACGGACACACCTATGAAATTGGGATCAGAATAGCGAAGACTTCGATAGTACTCATTACTGCGGTAAAGGAGGCAAGCGTGACACCCAGAAGGGTTGTCCTTAATCAGGATCATCCTCTGCTCCTTCCGTTTTAACTTGCCTTCGGGCGGATCCAAAAGGAGAACATCATCCATTGAGAATGCAGGAGCATCTAGAGTTGGTAGATTGGTGTCTTCCAGGGGAGACTGGTATGTCAAGGGACTATCGCAACCAACTAGAGACCTACTATGGGACTCATGGACGCCAGGTATTCCCCCGAAATAACTTATCCGCATGGAACACCTTGAGTTCGCTGGTGTATGGGAAGGGACTGCGATCCCTTTATTACCCCTATCTCCACGATGCTGGATCTTTATCATACCTTTTCACTACAGGCCGATCGGAACGTTCCATTAACGGGCTACGTTCCGCGATTTCGACGATGCATAGCACGATTCACGACACTCCGGTCAATCAAGAGCCTTTGATATGCCATTTTCTGCGGGGTATCAAACCGTCCAGAACCATGCGTCAAAGTATCACTGGTGTGGGACTTTGATTTGGTTCTTTTGGAGCTAGTCAGATATCACGGTCCTATCCCTCAGTCAGCCATTAGCCAGAGTCACGTTACTTTTAGGTCTTTTCGTCGGGTATCAGATGTACTGGAGTTCGATGTAGACGGTCTTTTCGGTATCACCGGAAAGAATGATTTCTACAGTGTCTCGAACTATCTTATCCGCGTCCGTATCGTTCCCTGTTACCGACGGTTTCCCAGTCTTTGTGCAGTTAAAGCGGTACTTTGTTACATGGAGATCACAACAACACTTAGAATGTCACATTCAGGACATCTGCTGGTCTTATACCAACCGTACAAGCCAGTTACCATGAACACTCTGTCTAGATGGGTTCATTGGTTGTTATCGCTAGCGAGGGTGGAGACGTGTTTGGGTACTCATTCAGTAAGAGGCGCAGCTGCTTCTCAGGCCTTCACGAGGGGGCCTCTATATTTTCAGCGACGAATTGGACACGGATAGACTACTTCCGTATATTTATTTTCGTCAACCACACACGCATCCTTCTCGCTCATACCACAGCTTTAAAAATGCAAAATATGAAGCCTCCTGTCATGTGATAAAATTGTAGATTATGCTAACGTAGTGTACCTATAATCTTAATTTTAATAATGACAGGAGGCGAATATTTTCCCTCCCTATACTCTGGAAATTTTTTATATTCTGGTTTGGTTTGTCATTTTTCTCAGTGTAAATTATAAGGTTTTGGTAATTCAGTATATTTATGGGATGCTTATTTGGTTGATATGTGTTAGATCCGTGTTGATTATTAAGTATACTATGGTTTGTTTAATGTTTCAG